TGTGGAATCAGTACTGGAGACAAAATGAGCATGCACATAAATAAATATTATTTTACTTTTACACATGAAAATACACTCTATTAACTCAACAACAAGCTAAAGTTCCAATTTTAAAATGGTAGAAAAAGGAGGCACCTATTTTGAACAAGAAGAAGAAGAACGGCCCATACAAGAAAAATCCTCTGTATAGTGATGACAATGACAGCCTTAAAAATCCATTACTTTTAGCTATCATGTGTAAGTAGCAGCATATCATAATGACGGTTCTTGAACAAATTCAACTGAAGGTAGTAGCTCCTAGTACTACTACTACTACTACTACTACTATAGAATACTACTAGTAGTAGTAGTAGTAGTAGTAGTAGTAGTATCATATTTCTACAAAAAAGTAGGCCTGTTTGAAGGCTTATTCCTCTATTACTGCTGAATTAACAACATTAAAAGAAGGCATAACATATTCAAATACTATTAATCAAGATTAATAATAAATTAGAATGATTCAAATGGCCCTTATATGATTGAGCTTGTTCTTTTGGTAGTAAACATGCTATGATGACACTTGTTCCAGAACCAGAGGAAGGAAGAACTGGCATCATTACTACTAGTAGTACTACTAGTAGCAGCTGGGACTACACAGGTGTCTGTTGAATCACACAAAATGGTGCGGGTTTCTTGGTTTTCAGCGTTAATTTCTTAGAGTTAGAGATAGTACTAATACCAATATTCTATGAATCAAGCAATATGATTTGCTGATTAGACAGATCAAAATTATCAAAAATGGTGAAATGGTACCCTCAATGAGAAAATTGGATTTAAAGGGGGTAAGAGTTATAGTAGTGGTACACATTTTCAAAAATTTTTACTAGTTTCTGTCTAATCAGCTTTTCCCTAACTCTAAATTAAYGCCAAAAACCAATCCGACTCCAAACACCTGTCAGTAGGTAGGAGATCCTACGGGATTCCAGTACTTCAATTAGGAAAAGATTTAGTCCTTTCATACTACTACGGGTTTCATAACAATTGAAATTATGTTAATGGAGGCATTGGGAATGTTAATTTAACATTCCAAATGTTACCAGCATAGGCAGCATAGAAATGAGTGTTTTTTGCTTCAATTTAACGTCCTGAATGCTTTGCTTAACAGTCTGAATATTTGCTTAACAGTCTGAATATTAGGAGGAGCAGGGGAGGCGTCCTCTTCTTCCTCTTTCTAAGATCCCTTCTTCCTTTTTTAGGCACGTGCAAGACTGAATGAAGAATGTGGATAATGCTAGGATCTATGTAAGCCTAGGTGAAAAATTTAAGATTCTGTACGTTAAATCAAACATCAAACATTCGGAATGTTAAATTAACGTTCCCAATGCCTCCATTAACGTAATTTCAATTGTTATGCAAAGCGTAGTAGTG